GGGGGGGGGGGGAGGTGAATCTAAGACATATTCAAGGAATATGACCATCTAGGACGAATAATTTATTTGGAAAAATTATTAACACAACTTAAAAATATTTTTTTTTTACTATAATCGAGTAGATTTCATTGGATTAATAAAAAGAAAATTCAAGAATTACACAAAGACAACAACAATCTTTTATAGTAATCTAAAATATAAAATACTCTTCACGGAACATATATTTCTATGAGCATCGAAATGATGTTTCATGTAGAAAATGATAGATTTGTAAAAAGTTATTAATTTTTCTTGGAAGCGGGTATTATAGCAATGGTTGATTTATAATTTTTTGGAATTTTAAAAAAAATTGTTTGTATTTTTTTTTTCTTTACACTTGACCCATTTGTCACTATTTTTTATTTTTATATTCATTATTTTCTAATATTTTTTTAGTTATTCCTTTACATATTTTTTGGAAAAAAATATTATTTTTTATTCTTTATACTTACAATATTTATCACTCTACACTTAATTTATTTATACTATTTTTTTGTTTTTATTTTTATTTTTTTAATTTTTTTTAATGTATATCTGAGCAATTATTTCATCTTTGTTTTTCAATTATTAATTTGCATATGTATGTTCACAAAAAGCTTTATCAGACTTGGATCGTGTCCAAGAATCATAGTTTGCAAGAGAAAATTATTTTTAGTTAAATATATTTATAAGAAACAAAAAATAAAAAATGGATGTAATTAAAAAAAATCTTACCACTTACTTCATATGCGAAACGAATGGAATGGAATTGTTGATGTGTGTGGTAATGGAATCGTGAACACATCAGTTTTGATTCTCCGTACTAAAGTGTGATTGTCACACAAAATGTTTAAACATCATATATTGAATGTATTTTACCTACACAACCTCTAAGAGATACATTGGTCTAAAATTTTTCACACTGTCACCCGTTTCTAGTCTAGAAGCTCTCTTTTTTTCAATTTTGTTTATTTTGTTTATTTTTATTATTTTTAAATAATTTTTATTTTTCATGAAATTAAAAAGTGTTTGTTATCACCAACAAATCAATTAGCTAACCATAATGATTATGTGGATCTTGTACATAAAATCATGATCTAATAATATTCAGTGAAACATAAGAACAGAAAAATTAAAAAAAAAATAACAACAATTATGCAATCATTAAGGAATATAAAACTTTTTTAAACATATTAAAAAAAATTCCAACAACATTTATATAATTATTAAAAAAATATATAAATAAACTTTTATAAAATCATTAAAGAACTTAAAAATTAACAAAAAAAATTTCAACAACATTTATACAATCATTAAAGAATAGAAAAATTAAAAATGAATCCCAACAACATTCATACAATTATTAAGAATAGAAAAAAAATACACAACAGAAACCACAAAAATAGAAGGACAAAGAAAAAATTAAAAATAAATCCCAACAACATTCATACAATTATTAAGAATAGAAAAAAAATACACAACAGAAACCACAAAAATAGAAGGACAAAGAAGAATCTTACAATAATATCATTGTGAGTTTTTCTAAGCCTAAGAAGAGAAAACAAAATTGAACATTATGTTAAACACCCAGAAAACAAAATTGAACATTATGTTAAACAACAAGAGAAGAAGAGAAGGTGAAGAAAGTAAAAGACATGTATGCACATGAAGAAGAAGAGAAGAGAATGGGTTAAAGAGAGAAGGAGAGAGAGAGGAGAGAGATGAAAATTTAGGAGGAGAGAAAAAAGGGCAAGGGAAGAGATGAGAAGAGAAATGTGATCGTTTCTTCTAATTTTAGGGATTTTTTTCTTTTAATTTGGAATTTTGTTTACCAATGATTTTATCAATGGGCAATTAAATATGAATATTTGTAATTTTTTTGTTAGTGTCTATCTGTAAAGTCTAATTGAAATGTTCAATTTAATAAAACATTGTTAGAAATCAACTAACTATCACCAACTCCTTTAATGTCAAAGAATTAAAAATTAATCTTTTAATTTATCTATCGGTGTTTTTATTTGTAATATCTAATTGAAATTTTCAATTTAATCATAAATTTTCAAAAACCCACCAATTATCACTAACTACTTTTCACTCTACCAGTAATTTTGTATGTACTAAACAAATAATAAACAGTGCAAGTGAGAAGTGAATTGTATCTTAGTACTCAAAAAAATACCAATGTATATTAATTATTGTGATTCTGTATATACTGAATAATAATAATTATTGTAAGTTAAAAGTGAACAATACTTTACCTCTCGAAAAAATACTAACATACATTAATCATCGTTGATCTTGTATATACTGAACAATAATAAACAATGCAAGTAAGAAGTTACCTTAACTCTCGGAAAATACCAACGAACATATTTCATGGTGACCCCGTATGAATTATAAACAATGAATAATGTAATTGAGTGGTGAAAAGTTTCACTACTCTCTATAATATACCAACAGACTTAATTCGTTGGTGCTTCTAATAGTAGTTTGAAGTCCATTGATTAGTATTTAAAAGTGTATTTTTATCAAGATTTTATATCATTATTTTGCACTTGAAGCATAAATAACTCCTTAACTAGAGCATGTTTTATAATAACATATCTAATAATATAAAGTACTTTTAACTTATAGTAAATGTTCATCTTAAATGTAGGCCTATCACATAAATAAAATAATTAATTAATGAGTTTAACTTTTAAAATTTAGAAGA